AAATATAAACAGCAACAGAGCCCAAGATAGTAAGATTACAAGTACTCGGACTCATTTTCGTTGTCGTACTCGTACATGATGCATGAATGCTATGATAATAAAAAGGTTATACGAGAACCTCGCTAAAACGGCGAGACGTTGACGTTGACGTTTGTGGTTCGATGATTGGACTGCTTATAATGAAACAGCGTTACGATCAATTTACGATCCGATCAGGTTATTGCAAACTGTCAATGGAGCTCGACTATATCTAAAAAGCATACAATGTGCAATTCAAAGCACTTCAAACGAATTACAGCTAAGTATAAAGCTACCTTTTGGCTGACGGATCGAATCTTAAGAGCTGAGAATTGGTGGAAAATCTATGCATGAATTTGGTTAAAGTGGATTTTCGCAAATCCACTTTTTCGGGTGGAAATTGGGTAAACAACATTGTCTGCGACAAAGTTTAAGTTTCATTATCATAGGGTTTTGGTTATTTTTCAAAACCGTGTTTAAAGAGATCAGTGAAAATGTGTTTCGTTGTTTTTCAAAGAAATCACAGCAACTTGCGGAATATGAGTGAAAACAAGGTTTGTTAAAATCTAAATACAAGCTGTATGTCCGCCCATAACTTATAAAACTGCCTACTGATTGGCTGGTCAAGTCTTGACAGTTGGGAGAAGATTGAAAATCTATGCATGAATACGTTTCAAGCGGATTGTGGCCAATCCACTTGTTAGGGTGGAAATTGAGAAAACAAGATAGTCTGCGCTGATGTTTAAGTTGCAATATAACGGGTCTTAACTGTTTTTCAAAGCTCTATTAAAAAGTAAAGTTAAAAGGCTTTTGATTGCTTTTCAAAGAAAATAATATATGTGAATATAAGTGGAATATAAGTGAAAGAAAGGGTTTCTTTAAATCTATATTAAAGCTCTAGGTCTCAACGAAGCCCTTTCGGTCAAAAGCAAAATGACGTGGTTAGAAATAATAAAAGCAGATAATTTTGTATAATTATTTTCGTTAGAAACTGGCAGGGAATATGTGTATAAATTTCTGTGATGTATATGTTTTTGGGAAACCCCGCAAGTAGCTGCAGCAAGAGGCAGTCATGCAAATTATTGCAGCAGAATTAACTAAGAAATAAGAACTAAGCACATACGCTTGGGTCTTAAGTGCCAAAGCATTTCATTGGACTTGGCCCTATAACCCAATATTACTGAGCAGAGCTACCCTCCCCCCTCTCTCTTTGTATGTATATAGTCTCTGTCTAGCATAGATCTTACATAATATAAAAGCAATTTGTAAAACAAATTCAATTAGCTTTTTTGTCTGTCTGTCTTTGAGTGCGACTCAAGTAATGTGCAAAAGAAAAGTAAAATGCAAAGCTGCCACACAGCGCGACAGACTGACGGACGGACGGACGGACGGACGGACGGACGGACGGACTGACTGACTGACTGATTGATTGACTGACTGATTGGCAATAAGGCAGTTGACATTCTGATTGGACTTAACGCCTCTTCTGCCCCATCTTCAACTTCTGATTAGCCTGGCAATTCGATGACGCCAACGTCTCAGCCAACCGCGGCGAATGTAAACAAATACACATTCACAATCATTTGCCCATTTTCCACATTTCCCTTGGCAGCAAAAAGCAACATCATAAAATATCACAAATCGATTAACGGCGCGTGGCGCCAACTGTTTCTGTTTCTGTTTCAGTTTCCACTCAACAACCTCAACCCTCAGGCCTAGGCCCCAGCCCCAGCCCCAGTCCCAGCCCCAGCCCAAACTGAAACCCCAACCGACTCGTCTGACTCTCGGCGTCGCGTTGCCAGCGGCGACTTTTTGCAAGTGCAAAACTAATTATCCGAACAGAACAGCAGAGACGCATGAATAATACTTACTACTGATAAAGTAGCTCTGCGATTCAATTTCCTATACAAATATATAAATGAGTTGAGCTTGCAAATAGCCGAGCCCCCCGTGCTCTCTCTCTCTATCTCACTTTCTCACTCTCAACCCTTCTCCATCGGATCTAGCGATCTGTGTGTGACGCATAAAATTGCTCAAACTCTCGCATTCAACGTGGCTGCAAATGAAAATCTGTTTTAAACAATGGGCCCAAAAAAAACTCCATCAAAATATCATATATCCGCCATATATAATTTTCATTCATGGGCTTTACTAATCACTGATATCGCATTACCCATTGCATAAGCTTCAAAAATAAATTTGTTCTATGTCGAAAAAAAGCTTTTCGATCTTGAAGTACACTTCACGAAAACTCTTCTCGTCAGCAAGAACTATTCATTAACTAATTCCTATTCATGTTTTGATTGCTTTAGTTTATTCCTGATTGACTGACTGACTGACTGATTGATGATCAGCGCATAGCTCAATCCGTTAGAGCTAAGAAGCTGAGTTTTTTACTCTGTCTTATTTTGGGTTCTGTAGATGAACAATAAGATGGAATATTAGAATATTTCTAACGTGAATGTGAAAAATTTTTGAATGGACATTTTTTTGCTTTTTTCTTTCGACTTGAAAATTTTATTCATTTTTCACTCGAATACGTGATTTTAAACGTAATAAAAAATATTTTACCGATTATTACTTGCAAACAACTAAATAAATTGCAAATTAAAATGATCAAGCTTTGGGTCATTAATTGCCATAAATCAGAAGTAATAAAAAAAAACGTGTACATTATATAAAACACTCAACATTGAACAGCTGGAAATATGAAATGGGCGCATGTTGGCAAATGCATAAGTATTTAATTACGCTTCATTACAATTCCATAAACTGAAAACTGCTGTGAAATGTGAAGCATATTATATGATATGCTTGTCATAGACTTAAAAAGAAGAACTCGAACGGTTACAAGCTTATTATAAATGTCCAAAGCAGACTTCGAGTCGCACAGTTAAACAGCACAAATCTAATCAAATCGGGCCAGATAACATAAGTGCAGCTAAGCCTCTTATAAAAGATGCACTTATCTGGTGCAAGAAGGCGATCTGATTTACAAAGAGAAAATTCCAGACTCTCGGTTCCAATGTTTGGAATTAACATTTCTAAGTTTTATTTAACTTTGGAAGATAGATAACTCGGGCACACAAGTTGGCTGCTAGCTTTGATAACATATTATTCTAAAAGCTACAAGAAAATACTTGGGAAATTTTATACAAGTTTGTGGCAGCTTTGCTAATAAGCATCCTATTTCCCTTTAAAGATTGATAGATTGATTGGATAGAACTTTTTTTCAGCCTCTTTCTAACTTTATTACCTAGCAATGAAGTGCCCATACTGCTAAGAGTATTAACAACCTAATTGCAACCAGTATCGACTAACCACGCAGCAAAACGTTTAAGAATATGACACAAGGAATTGCCAAAACATTAACCCTGCAAGCCGTTAACACGAATTTGTTTTGAAGAGAAGCACGACTGCATGAAATACATGAACAGGCCAAGCCGAGCATGTTAAAACGTTAACGAATGTGCCACAAAAAAGAATTGCAAAATAATTAAATTTGAAGGCCCTTCAAATACCTACTATTCGGTAAAGCGACGAAAGGTTTTTAACATACGAAATTCGTTAACGGGCCATGCCAAGCAAGTCAAAACGTTTACGAATGAAACAGAAAAGAGAATAGCAAAAAAGATTAAGTTGATCGTAACTAATAGCCCATACAGAGTATATATATACATAAATCCCGAAAAGTGTGGCAACGTCAAACAATTATTTTGACAGCAAGTTTAACCAATTGTTAAACTTAATTCAGAATAAATTCTTTGCCCTTGGCTCGAGTGTGTCTGAATTAAAGTTGCAACTAAAGTCTGATCGTGCTTTCGCATACACTTATGTATGTACCATACCATATCAAAGAGATTATCATTATTTATTTTCTCTTTTTTTTTCATTTCTTTTTTTTGTTTTTTTTTTTTTTGTGCTGATAACAATAGCCACGCATCAGATTAAGCGATAGCTGCCGCTGATGTAATGCGATATGCCGCCGTATATGAATCATCCGACGGGTTTCTGATTAGCAACATTTTTGGGCTTTCGATTTTTGAACTAGCTTCTGCTCGAAGAACTCTCCAACTGCAGAAGAACTGCGAGAATTCGTTTCTGTTCTTTGATTGCGATTAAATATGCACACGGAATTCAATTTAACTGCCGTACAATTTGCATTTAGAGACGGGAGTTTTTGACAACAAAATAAAACTGTTTCAAAATAAGACCAAATCGGGATTGAAGAAATTGTTTGACTTAAGATTTTGAGGCTGCTTATGAAACAAGAAAGAAAGTCTTCCAATATATCTTTTAGCTCGCGGTACAGTGAACATCCCCACAAACATACATAGTTCATAGTTAAATCTAAATCAAAATTATTTGCAGTGTATTTAAGAATTTTACTTACTTTTGTACAGAAATTTTGAATAATCACAATCCATGTTGTTGTTGTTGATGTTGTTGTGGTTGTTGCTTGTTGCCGTAGTGAATGTCTATTGTTGCTGCTGCTGCTGCTGTTGTTGTTGTTGTTGTTGTGGTTGTTGTTCTTGTGTTGACATAGACATGAAGCTGCCGTTGGAGTTGCTGAATTGATGCGGCGATTGTTGTTGATGGATTTGATTGATTCACAACTGCATTCGCACTGCTTTTCGCTTTTGCGCCATTCACTTGACGACAATTATAGAAAAAAAATGCCAAAAAAAAATATGAACCACACTCACACACAAATAAATAAATTAAAATATGAAAATGCCGTTAGCCGCGTTGGCACGCGGGTGCGGGGGGCTGGGTGGGGCGTTTTTTGTTCTTGGTGTTGAGGGCCGGGTTCGAAAAGTGCAGCGTTGACACAAAAATTTGAAGATTGCCGCCGGCGGCGGTGTAAGACAAACTGAAATTCGAATTTCGAGTTCGAGTTCGAAGCTCCGCAGCGCTCGAGCAACCTTCTGCTGCTTGTGTAGATTTTTTGTGTTTTTCTGTTGGTTTTGGTTGCTGTTGCTTTTGTTGTTGTTGTTGTTGTTTTATTGACACTTGATGGGCGCTGTTGCCATGTGTTGTTGTTGGTTGCTGCTGTTGTCGAATTTTGTTATTGTTGCAATTTAATGCCACTTTACAAGCATGTATAACATTGTGAGTTTTTGGTTGTGGGCTGTTGTTGTTTTCGCTTTTGTTTTGCTTTCATTTACACGCTGCAGGTGTTGGTATGTAACAATCGCGAGCACACACACACACACACACATATGTGTGTGACAGTCGCATATTCTTTGGCGACTGTCGCCGCCGCAGCACTATTCTAGTTATGCTTCTTCTTATTTTGCTGTAAGCATTTCTTTCTTCTTCTCGCGTTTGCAGGTGTAGCCGCTGCTGCCGCTGCTGCTGCTGCTGCTGCCGCTGCTGCTGCTGCTGCTGCTGCTGCTGTCGCCGCTGGTGTTGTTGTTGTTCTTGTTGCTCTTCCGTTTAACTGTATCTTATCGGGGCGCGCCTTTTGCTTTGCTTTAACCAAATTGAAATTTGAACAACATCAACATGTGTTTAGCTATTATTGTTGTTTTCCTTTCATTTATTATGCAGAGACGCGCGTTACAACAAAAAAGGCGCGCAATCTCTGGACGTCACTCGCTGCGACTGCTGCTGATGCTGCTGCCGCTGCTTTTGCTTGCTCGTTGTTGTTGTTGTTTTTGTTATTCTTGTTGGGCGTATTGTCGCCGATTTAGTTGGGTGCAACAGTTGCGCTGGCGTTGCAGCTTCATACCACAAAAAACGACTGTCACAGGATGCACCGGAAAAAAATGCACAAAAAATTAGTTGTCGTGTGTGTGTGCCAAGGAACAACAATGCTAGTCGCATATATTTATGTGTGTATGTATTAGCACCAAAAATACACGCACGCACACACACTTACACGCAGCACACAGTTATTTTATATACATATCTATGCACAACTATATATGTATATGTATGCATATATGCAATGATAATTTAGTTTTTCGCGCTTCTGCTGCCGTCGCCGACGCCGCCGCCGCTGCTGTTGCGAATTCAATTTAATTTCTTTTGCTAAACTTTTTGTGTAATTTTGTTTTTGTACACTTTTGCTTTGCCCTACGCCAGTAGGCGGCACGCGCTGGCAAATGTGTAAGTTTTCATGTAGCTTAACAGATGATTCTAATTGGGATGCGGTTTCTGATTGGATACTATTTCGGCATTTTTTCTTGAACGCTTTTCTTACACACGCCGCCCAATGCTCCGGGCCGGAGAGTCAAAGACGAAATGTGCTTTTAATGTAGACACAGACACACACCGAGACACATAGATACATATATATTGTACATACATATGCATGTAAATAAGTTAAAAGAAATTTTCTATAGATATTGTCTAAGCAATTTGGCTATTTGATTTAAATTTGTTAACTACGTGCTGCGCTTGCTTTCGCATACAAAATGTGACGCCAACACAACCGACGGTATAAACAAAACTACCAATACGAAATTAGCTCAAAATGTATTTCAGGCAAAAATTAAAACAGCAAAAGCGCTCATTGTGCGCGAGCGAGCCGTGCAGTAAAACTGCCAACCTACCCACACAAGCACACTAGAAGAAGCAAACACATACAGACGCTCGCACACAGAGCAGCATACGAACCATGCCCGAAGACCGAGCCCCAACAGTTTGTTGGATACGCGCGCGACACACTCACACAACCGCACGTACATGCCTATATACACATACAGCAAATTTACTCACCGAGTTGGTCGCCACCAGCTGAATGGAGTACACGCGGCCGAGAGCAAATTACGAGTGTGTGAGCGAGTAAGAGAGAGACACAGTACGATAGAGCGAGACATGGCGAGTGAGAGAATGTTGCCGCTGTCTCTACCGCATGGGAGCGAGCGAGTGGAGTGCGCACAGCGCATGAATCAGCTTCCGCTGTTTCTGTTCAATGTTGTTGTTGCCTTTGTTGTTCTTGTTCTGGTTAGCTGCCGAAATGAGTTTCGCTCAAAGACATGTTGTTGCTGGCCTGCCTGAGGTTGAGCGCTTTGCTTTGAGGCGACTGTATAAGAGAAAGAGCAGAGCACTTGCTGTGGCACGGTTATCCATAACTATATTTCTATGTATGTATGTATGTGCTAGTTTATGAGCAGGTTTATGCGTAACACAAACTTGTGATACAATGAAAGAATACATGAATATGCATGCATGTATGTATGTATGTATGTACATTTATGTATTTATAACCATACACTTCAAGTGTAATAAAAATCATACTAAAATACAATTTAAATTAATAAAGCAGAAAATTATACGCATAACTATAGAAAAAAAAAGTACAGTACGGATTAGAGTATTGGAAAGAGAGGAATAAAGCAAGAGAAAGAAAGAACCAGGAGTTAAATTATAAGATATCCACACAATATAAAAAACGTATAATCAAAGCTCGAAAATCTGCAAGCCTTACTTTAATTCTTGAGAATCGCGTAGTAGGGCAATACATAGTCCATACCCTCATACATACACTCATATATACACACATACATGTAAACACACATAAATACATAAAGTATATTATTTCCAGATACAACTTTGAAAAATAAAACAGGAAAAAATATATACACCTGCATACATACACCAACATACATACATACTTACATACATACATACTTACATACATACATACTTACATACATACATGCATACTTACATACATACATACTTACATACATACATACTTACATACATACATACTTACATACATACATACTTACATACATACATACTTACATACACATACATGTTAACACGACCTGTTAAAAAAAAAATATACACTAAAACACACCAAGAAAACCTGCAGCCCTTACTTGAATTTATGAGAATCGAGGAGTAGAGCACTTATTTAAAATGTTTTTTTGTTATAATTGCAGCGTAACGGTTGGAGTTATTGAAACATTTTAAATGGACTTGGTTAGCCATTGAAACACTGCGTCATACATACATACACACACACACACGCATACCTACATACATAAAATGAACTAAACTTTGACTGCTTTTGACGCAACAGAACATGCTCACACTCACTATCATACATATATACTTACACACACCTACATACGTATATACATACATACGTGCAAGAATACATACACTTTTACATAGATACATACATATATAAAATAAAGTAAAATGGGTCATAACTGGATAACTAATAAAGAGATTTAATAAGTACATACATACGCATATACGTAATGCAGGTATTATGCAACATTACCTGAGCTAAGTTAGTGTATCCTTGGAAAGGGTATAATCTTTTCGGTATAGTATTTCCTGTGGGCAATTGTTTTCACGATGTCAAATCATGTCGCGATCAACAAACGGTTTAGTGTAAGCGACATGCTCCGAACCCACCACAAAATCACTCAGCCTCCATTTATCCCAACAGAGAGAGAAAGAGCGAGCGAGAGAGAAATGAGTGCAATTGCATGTGCGTAAATGCGCGCGTGTGTGTGTGTGCAGCTCCTGTGAGATACTTTTGTGTGTGTGCCTATGGCCAGGCTCTCTCAACGCGGCACTTAACACAAATCATTTTTTTTTTTTCATTTCTATTTTGGTTTCATCTTTTGATAATTTGGCGCCGGTTCTGACCTGAAGTTGACTTTGTTACAAAGCCGAGGATTAATTAGTAAAGCTCATAAACTTACTATATATCTATCAGGATTCTGAGATATGTAAGCAAGGACACTTACTTCACTGATTGACAGTTAAAATATCAAATTGTCTATTTACCTACTCCTGTTCCTAAGAAACCTTCAGGGCTGCACAAGCTAAATTGTCGGTGGTTCGGTTCACGGTTCGCGCCAACTGCCCGCCTTTGTTTTCGGTTCGTGAGCTGTTCACATGCTAAACCCCTGATTTGAATTAAAACCCGTAAAATATAATTCGTTTTTAAGCCAAGGTACATATGTATGTATATGTATGTGCTTTGGCGCTTGATCTCCCAAGCCATATTATTTTTTGAAAATAGGATTTTGCTTTTCAAAAATTGTTCGGTTTGGGTTTCGGACTTGAACTAGTTCATTCATAAATCATATGCATATGCATGTTATTATGCATGTGTGTGTGAGAGTGTGTGTATGTGCGTTGTAACGTGCATGATATTTGCGTTTGTTGAACCCCATTAAATTGTCACTAGGCATAGGCATTTAAAATGCACGCCTCCAATGCATTAATTGCTATAAATTGAACCAAACATCACACACACACACACACACACGCACGCACATAAATATGTATATTTATATAGAGCCTAGTGGGGTGCGACATGCGACATGCAACAACATGATGGAGCCGGGCGAAAGAGTGGCATCTGGAGGATGAGGATTTATAGTGTAGGGTGTGCGGGGGGCGGGGGTAGGGAAGCGCCTGAACATCGACATTGTTGCGCATATTGGCAAAGTTTGTAATTTGCCGCCATCTCTATATGTTGCTGGGTCGCTCGAAAACAGCTGTTTGTTGCGTCCTCTCACTCAATTAGCCAGCTCAAGCAATTGAGTGGGAACGCATGCTGAGAGTGCTGCACACAATGAGCGCGTTGCGCTAAGCGTTGCGCCCGCGAATGTGGTGCAGGGGTGTTGGGTGGCGGTTGGGCGATTCATCAAAGACACACAAACCAAAAATTATGAAATGGCCATATTAGACACACACACACACACACACACACACACTCAAATCAAGATGTTAGCAATTGGAACTAACTCAACCAGGGTTCTCAACCGCATGATGAGCTAGTGGCTGGTGGACACCCCGAGGGTTGGGATTGTGTCGCATGGGTCGCCCAGAGCGCGCGCCTCGGCAATTCAGCTTCGTGTGCGCACGCCACGCAGCGTGCGTCTCAGTCGACGTCGCCGCCGACGTCTTGAGCTCTTGAGCGATTTAACGGCAATCGACTTGACAGTTGTAACTCATTGTCTGACGCCGACGCTGCCGCTGCCGCTGCCCCTGGCGCGGACTTCTTTGTTAACCCAGCCCGCCCACAATGTCCATTACGTACAATATGAATGCATATGCGCATGCATGCATGTATTTGCCCACTGGCTAAGCAAATGGCAACTTTTTTTTTTTGTATTTTTTTTTTGGGGCGGCAGTGACCCCCATTGATAGCACCTCTCAGCCGAGAAGAAGGCCTACGCCGATTTGTTCTCGAAAGGTTTGTTCATTATTTGGTTAGGCGTTTGGCTCTAGCGGACACTAAAAATAAATCCAACAATTTTCTACTTCACGCGTGTAAGGGGCAAAACATCATTAGACATTAAGGCTAGTGTGTTGAAAGTGAACAACAAAAAAAAAAAAAAAAAAAAAAAAAGAAAAAAAAAACTCAGCATGTGTGCAGACGGTCGATGTCGATGTCGATCCGCAGTCGGATTGTCTATATATAAACGCAGCACAAGACAAGACAAGACAAGATGAAAACGAATAAAATACGAGTACAAAATTCAAGATGAGATATTCAGATACATACACCCATATTCTACATACACACTCACACACACACACATACACACACACACACACACTCACTCACACACACACACATTCACGATCATACTAAGCAACAGCATCAAGAGTCTAGCCAAAAAGACTTTCGCATTTAAATAAAAGATTCGATTCATTCATTTGTATTTACACATTTCTCTTGAATGTATTTTCGTGTACATTCGTGTGCATAAATTTGACCTTACATTATAATATCTGGCACTGAATTCATAAGCGCAAAAGCTCATCGGGTTTTCCATATTGTGAGCCAATATTTTGATCAATTTGAACCAATTCGAATGTTGTGTTTTGTTCCGGTTCGGTTCCGGTCAACCAGTTCGTACTGGAAACTGTTATTACTCTATTCTTTTACCAAGAACCGAACCAGTTTCTAAACATTAAACGAACCTTTGTTCAAACCGGTTTTGCAAATTATTTTGACTGTTAATATAAGTTGAAAGGGAAACAATATTTATTTTCTATACCGATATGATATTGATCTAAGACTCTCCTGGAACAGTAAATCTACCCTGAATCAGTTAAAATTGGGTATAAATGTTTGTAATGGGCAGAAGAAAGTATCTCCGACCCCTTAAAGTATATACATATGTATATAATTGTTCAGAACGACGAGCTGAGTCGATCTAGCCAGTCTTTCCGTCCGTACATCTGTAAGAAACCATCGATCTCGGAAACTACAAATGCTAGAGACTTGAAATTTGGAATATATACTGCATACAGAACGAGCCTAAGATATCTTTTCTGATATCTGCTCCCTTTTTTTATAATATCTCGAAGATATTAAGTGCTAGATATACCAAACTTGGTATGTAGGTTCTCGTAATGGTAAACAAATATTATGAATATATCACTCTTTGGACACTTCTCCCATTCCATTCTAAATCTACGATTTTTAAATGTAGAGCCAAGCGCTTTGGTATTTACAAAATATTGTGTGCTATATATTTAGACCCTGAAAATTTGAAAAAGATCGGACTCTAAGAACCGAAGCTAACCAAGAATATATAAACAGTTTATAAAGATGGGACTCCAAGCACGGAATGTATGTCTAGAATGCAAGAGAAGAAGAAGCACATCAATGTGTTTTAGTATATGTACGCAAGAAGAAAGGCTAAAATATTTGTACCGGAAGCGCAGTACTGGATTCAGGGTATCTCCCAGCTAGGTACTCCAGACGCTTGCTTGGGTTTAAATGAACATGTTGGAATATATTATAAGTAAACTATTCTGTGAGTCCCCCTCTCCACATATGTATGTGTATTCAATTAGTAATAATATAAAAGTATATATAAATTTTTGTTAATGCATTTGTTTTGCTCATTCGTGTAAATGGCGCAAAAAAATGTTTTACAATAAATGAGCAAAATGCAGGCACTGTGCACTAATATTTACTTATGCACTTTGGAATTTTTAATACGACTTTAGTTTTTTTTTTTAATTTAGTTTTTTTTTTTTATTTTTTTTTGCTGTACCTTGGTACGGAATATGGCAACAGCAACAGTTGGAAATGTTTTCGTTTGGCAGCCCCACAAAGGGGGGGGGGGGGTTGGGGGAGGAGATCTTTAGACAACTACGTTAGCTCTCGGTTTTTCTGCAATTGTGCGATTTTGAAATTGTTTTGTTGTTTTATTACTTTTACAAAGTATTTACACACGTATGTGTGCGAGTGTGTGTGTGTGTGTGTGTGTGGATGTTGTGAAATTGCTTTCTTTGTTAGTTAGTTGGGCTTATATTGGGCCATCCCAGAGAGCACTTTGAAAAACACTTGGAATTTTTCATTGCCAATTACAGCAGGCTAGGCAAATGTAAAATGCGAAGGAAAAGAAAAAAAAAACAAACGTGAATGCATTCCGCGCAGTAACAGACCCAGGCCCTGAACCCCGGGAACCCCGGCAACCCCGGGAACCCCGAAACCGAACACAGGCCGGACGTATGCAGCGAGTCCAACCCCAATCGCTCGTTCGACTTGGCCCGTCGAAATGGGCCGCCAGAAAAGCTGCCGCAGACGCAGCCAAGAAAGAAAACAAAAAACAAAAAAGCAAATAAATTCCAAAACGAAACGTTAAGAATTTTACGTTCGAGATACTTTTATCAGCTACTGCCGCCGCTGCTGCTGCCGCCGCTGCTGCTGCTGCTGCTGGTGCAGTGGCTGCCGCGACTGCTCAGCCTGCATTCCCGGCTGCAAGCCAACCTGTTACAACATGCAATCGACAGGCCTCAAACAAGGCGGAAAAATTAACGCAGCCTGCAATTGCAAATTGTGAATGGGTGAATGTATCCAAGCGTGACGCACATATCTTCCTTCAGTTTTGGCCATTAGCTAAAATAAAAGATCAAAAGATCAAAATAAAAGATCAACCAAACGGATATGATCTTTGATCATTAAAAGATTGTCAGTGATTCGAACCAGCTGCCTGCCTTTAGGTTCAGTTCGTTAAGCTGATTTTCTACACTTCTGTACCCAGGTTTTGGTTCAAATCTAGTTTTCGGTAGACTTTTATGACACTTCAAAATTAATTGAATTTCGTTTGCTCAGATTGATTTTAGCTCTATGTTCTATTCCTTTGTTATTTTTTAATTCTACTTTTTTAAATAGTTGCTTCTCGATTTTACTCGGTTTAATTAACCTAAAAACTGTTCTTTTTTTCTATTATTATATTTGTTGGATTTGAATACCCAAGCTTTAAGCTTTTTGAATGTACTCTACTCAATTTGCCATATGTATAATGGTATTTCACTTGAAATTCAAACCGTTTTTTAAATGCACATTAATTTTCAATATTTGCATCTTAGAAAAGATTCAAAGGTGGCTAATAGAAACAAAAAAGTCTTTCTGCTAGGTTTTCTAACTCCCCTTCAATTGTCCAAACTTAACGGTACTTTTCGGCCATATTTGAATTTTTGCAAGTCAATTTTTAGGCTTTTTAAAAGTAAATGTTTCGTACCTTCTATGAATATTTAGTTTATCATCATAAAATATAGACATATAAATGCAACTTTGCGTATTGATTTTGCATTTAAACGATTAAGGCAAATTTAATTGTACAACAAATACACAAATAAAGCTTTCGGGGCATCGGTATCGAAGCAAGTATAACGAAAAAGTATCGATAAGTATTCAAGTGCTGCCGATGCTTGGCGTTAGCCCTGGCGATAATTAATCGCACATCTCTAATGCATTTGTGTATGCAATAGACACATTTGTATGCCAAAATTATTTACATTCGTTTAACTGGACAAAAAGCAAAATGGATAACTTGGCGCTGAGGCGAGGGGCCAATGCCAGCTGCAACTGTGAGTAGATGCTACTGTTAAAATTGAATTTGGGCAAATCAGGGATTTGCACAGGGACCATTTCATGTAATACATATTTGTTTCTTTTCCTTTTTTTTTTCATGGCCATTTGTGCACATTATTATTTTGTGTATATCTTTATATATGAAAAATATGCAGTCAACAATATGACAGACGAACAGCTGCAGGCTTGGCACACAGCAGTAGTGTCGGAGGCGCAGCGCGAGAATTATGTTAACCATAACTTGGAAATTGTGCGACATTATCGCACCGAGGCGATTTCCCGAGCGCCCGCTTTCGACCTTGAGCGCAATGCCATAGACGCAGCAATCGCCCGGCATGGCCTATGCGTGCCCCATGCTGTTGCCAGCAGTGAGAGCATTGCACGCAACCAGGCAGCAGCAGCAGCAGCAGCCGCCGCCGCCGCCGCCGCCGCTGCCCAGGAGGAGGTACAACCGCCTCCAATACGACGGCCACGACTGGAGCAGCCGGAGGAGCAGCAGCAGCCGAATGCTACTGATGAGCCCAGCGTGAGCGGCACAGCTACAGCAACAGCTACAGGGACAGGCAACAGGTATGGCCACTATGTGGCACTGGCCCACATATTCTCCGATACGTATGCGGCACGCAGCACGGAGCCAACTGTCGCAGCCGGTGGAACCGTGAGTGCCAATGGCCATGTCAATAGCACTAATAATAAAAGTAGTAGTAATAATAAAAATCAGGAGCCCGAGGAGGCGGAAATCAATGATATGGCGATAACGAAGACCATTGATACTCTGGGCCTGCGTCGCACCTAATTCAGTTGTATTAACATTTAAGTATCATATTTATTCAAACAATTGTTAAAAGATCAGTGTGTGCAACATATTGTTTAGAACGTGTAATGTATGTGTATTTAACTAGACGTTATTTCCAAAATTTGTTTCCCGGTATAGGCAAGAAACAAAAAATGATATTTGATAGATGCTGTATGATGTAAATAATATCAGTTGACTTTTGTAAATAGTGCATTTTACTTATAGTTGTTTAGCATTTAAGCGTAGAGTACTTAATCGCATGTATGTATATATATATATATATATATTATATATATATATACATCTATATATATACGACAAATACATAAATATATAACATATATCTCATATGATTTAGAAACGATCAACAAACGTGTAATTTTTTCTTATCGACCCAACAAACAATTACTTTAAACTGGTCCGAACCATAACCAAAAATGGTGCCACGAGTAGAATAGAATATATACGATTTAACAATATACATACATACTTTACTTTGTTTTAAAAACAAAGCAAGATATCAATATATGCTTATTCGAATAAAATATAAAACATTCCATTTCGTATACACAACCAAATTCGTTTTAAAAAGGCAACCAACTAGAATAGATGAGCTATCGGAATAGAGGATATTTGCTCGAATTCAAACCTATTTAATGGCGCCACAAAAGCAATAGCAAACCAAAAAAATAATGATATACGTATTGAGTTTAATAATTTACAAATTAAAAAGGAACAAGTGTTTAAATATCGTTATATGCATCACATACGCTCTCGTATGTTTGAGCTCGTTGAGTCTCACAATTTTGACTGCGGCGCTGATAGTGCACTGGATATCAATTTCATACCTAAATTGGGGAATGTGTGAGGGTGTTTTCTTTCGGGCACAACTAACGGCAGGAGGGAATGGGGCGTATATATATATATATGGTTATACATACTGGGAGTAGCCGATGCAGCGCCGATTATACATGTATATATATTGATAGATAGTTTACTCTCATTGATAAGGTATTGATATTGACTAGATTGGTTTAAGTTGCATTCGAGTTGTTGCTGTTCTGGTTGCTATCACTTTCATCGTTGTCCTCATTCTCATTATCAATATTGTTACCTGCAATATGATTATCATTATTATGATCAACAGCAACAGCAACAACTCCTGCATTGTCCGCATTCATAGCTACTCGCACAGCCCCTCTACGGTTCCGCCTATTTTCCATGCCGAATGCCGGTCCACCCGTGGCATGCATCAGGCGACGATACTGATGTAAACTGGCCAAAATGCGTATCATGATCTGTGCAGGTACCGTTATAGTATCGCGTGTCTCCACCAGCATTATCTCATTGCTCCTGATCAGCTGTAAATATAAGTTTTCGAATAAATAAACTATATTAAATATATATATAGTGGCACGCGTACCTCTGCAGTTTCGCTCTCGTCGAAGGTGGGCTTTGGTGAAATTGGGGCCCAGACCTTCACGTTGTAATCAATGCCCGAGCTAACCAAATAGGGCAGCGTCGGATGCGGTTGGACACGATTCACTACACGATGATCCGCCAGCAGCGTTTTTACCACTTTGCCCGTCTGCCGTTGCCACACAAAGATGTGGCCGCAATCTGAGCCGGACATGATGAAGTCGTCGCCCCAGAAACAGGCGCCCTTCACCATGGTACGCGAGTTCCGATGTCCGCTAAACGACATTTTCACATAATCAAATTTGTTCAGCTCTTGACGATCTTGCCCACCCTCCCGAGCAGGTGCCACCACAGTGTCGATCTTCTCAGCTGCAGACTCAGCACTCAAGGATTCAGCAGGTGTGGCGTCTATAAAAAGTAAATGAATTTAATATTTGTATTTCTTATAAATTAAATAATTATAAGTGTATATAAGACTGTATGAATGTGCGTATGTATGTTATGCAAATTCAAAATATATGTAGTTTTAAATAGTGCCGTACTACTCGATTCTCATTAATTCAAGTAAGCCTTGCCGGTTTTCATGTTTTGATATTTTTCGTATTAGGACAACAAGTTGTATATGTGTACATATGTGTGTATGAGTATGTAAGTATATATGAATGTATGTTTGTACAAACATCTGTGTGTGTATTTGTATGTATATATGTGCATGTTTGCACATGTACACAAAACATATGTATGTATTGGTTTGTGTATGTGCGTATAGGTCTCCTATACCAAATGCACAGCACGTTAACGTCTGTTTAAATAAGATCCTTACTATGCGATTCTCAAGAGTTCAAGTCAGGTTTGCAGGTTTATATGTTCATTAACAAGTTATGCTGTATGGCATTGTATGTATATATCTTTGCTCATCCTCTCACTCTAATTTATTCAGATGTAGTCTATCTCTCTCTTATTCATTTTATTTCTACATGCAAAAGTCTGTCTCTGTCCTACTAATAGATGCTAATACAATGATGGTGCATGTGAGTTTTCCTGGGCAAGCACAAATTTACGAATATATTTATGTGGATACAATTAGGATCAGGGCTCTGGTTATCTTTTTGTCTTTAGATAAAAATGCGTCCATGTTTGTAAGTACTGAGGGTAGGTATCAAGGGAGTAGGGTATATTTCCAGTCATTTAATACACTATTTATTGAAGACATAAACTACTTAATGCACACAGCTGTGTCCAAATACTTTTCGTAATCAGTGTTTTGCGTACGGCTGCGGTCAGCGAACTGCTCCACTTACCATCACCTGACGAGTTCGCAACTGCTGGCGGCGACACTATAGGAATGGGTGCATTGGCGGCACTACTAAGTAGCCTGTTGTTGGAAGCTAATACGGTCTCCCTGTGGTTGTCCAGGGTGCGTAGAACGGCGTCTTGCCAGGACATATGAGCCGGTGTCCTTGGGTTGGAGTAGCTGCTGGTGCTCGGATTTAGGGCACGTAGCTGACGTGTTTGTGAATTGAGCATGCGAAAGATTTCATCGCTGAGTCGACTCAGCACACCGGGCTCAAGCGGCGGACGCGCCTGACCGACATTGGGACGATTGGAACCGTGCTCGGCGTTGGCCATGGAATTGGGGCCTGTATCGGACCAATCGCCGCGAAAACGTAGGCGCGGCATTTGCGGCTCTGGATCGTTGTCGCGCCGCAGCTTGGGCGTGTAACAGCCGCTGCGTAGCAGCTCGGCATCATTGAAGCCCGGATGATGCATATCAAACAAATATAGCTGCTCCATGGAATAGCTGACCAGCAGTTCCGATTCGTCGGCGCTAAACTTAACGCAAGTGGGGCGGTAATGCCGGCGTGTATACTTCATCGGTATGGGATATGCCTTCAATGGCCAAGTGATGCGCTCCCGATCGATGCCAGCGCAGAGCATGCGCCGATCATAGAGCCGCACTATGGAGTCTGAGCAGCCAATGGCAACATTATAATGATTAATGGGCGCCACATCCATTGCTGTCACCGCGCAGGGTGCCGTAATAAAGATGTGCTTGTCGCAAACGGACTGGGCGCAGCGACTGCTCACCCTCAGGTCGATGCAACGGACGGTGCCGTCTTCACCGCAGCTGAGGAACATGCGTGGGCTGTCCGGCAGCGGCAGGACATCGTATGTACTGCCAAAGGCGTGACAATCAAAGAAACTGGCACAGCGATCGGGTTCGCCAACGAGCGCATCCTGCATGCTTCTGCCGAGGCCGTAGGGTGCCAGGAATTCGGTGTGCATTACAATACCCTCGCCGGAGCACGAGATGACCGCCAGATCGTTTGAGTGCGGCATGAAACGTGCACTAAATATATGACGCTTGTGCAGAGTCTTTGTCCTGGCCGCCACACGACCGCTTTTGGGCTCCGTGATGACCAGATGATTGTCATCGGAGCCGGATACAATAAGCGTTCCGCTGGCATTCCAATTAACCGTATTCACACAACCGTTGTGCACGCTCAACGTTCTCAACAGATTCAGGCGTTGCACAAAGTCCAGCGAATCTAAAATAAATCGAAATATAATAATTATAATGCAGATTACAAGCGGGCCACAAATCATATCGCCTGCAATTGCCGATAAACTTCAAATCGCGCCACCACTTACTCTTGCAGCTGGCCTCCAGATTCGCCTGGGCTCTGCCGCCGCCCGCATTGTACGGATAGTTGCTGATGCACCGGTTAACACTGTGCCTCTGTCCTTTGTCGGCCATCTTCAAATGCCTCACTGTATGTGGAATGGTGGGATGATTATCGGAAAGGTGGATGGGAAGGGGAAGGGGGGGGGGGGGGTACATAAATATGTAGAGGTTCATTGGTATTATTAGACAATTGCCAAATATGATGGCCCCGGCGCAGATATGAGCAGGGAAATAAAACAAAAGCACCTATACTATATACAAAATGTTGATCGTTGCCGCATCGATCATTGAATACTCTTGCATATATTATTAGCAAAATATTTGATTAGAATTAGAATGCTACAAGTGAGCAATTTCTAATTTTCTTATTTTTGACATATTTTTTATTGATTATTTTTTCCAATTGAATATGTATACTTGTATAAGCCATACTATTTTCGCCTATTCAATATAATAATATTCAAAAATGTCGAATTTTGTTGTATAAAACAAATATTTGTTGTATTAGATTTAACTATATATGTAAGTTATTTTTAAAATATATTTAAATAAAATCACTTTACAAAATATCTGCGCGATACCTGTAAAAACAGGTGGTAATGAAAATTTTAAATGATTATGATTTCAAGGACTCCCAAACTGTGCAACAACGCTGTGACCCTCAAACTGCGTCTTAAAATTTTTAGCATATATGTATGTATGTATGTAAGTTTTCATCATTTTTACTGACTGGGCAAGGCCAACATTCAATACACTATTTCAAGCAAAATTAACAGTAAATATTGTTTTCAAACGCACATATTGCTTGAATAAATTAAAATATCCAGTGCAAGAGTATAAGAACACACAAGCACTGAGCAAAATTCATTTTACGTATGTGTGTGTGGGCGGCCATATGTATGTATATAGCCAACTTCGCGTCCGACTATATCTTCCGTTTGTGTGTATGTGCGCAAATGTTTTTCGAATAAAATACAAATTATATAAAAATTCAAAACAAAGCGCCATACCAGACAGTCGATTGGCATTAATTATTGAAAACTTTTCACGTTTGGCTATTTCTGTTTGGTTTAAAGTGTGCAAATTTTTTAGAACTATTTTAACTATAGCGTTACCTAGTTTAAACTGCAGTGAAACATTAGAAAACACTATTTGGGCCGCAGCACACAAACACAAATTCGATATTTATTTTTATTGCGAGCTCAGCTGTCGCACAGTGTGACCGTTTGCCGTTCGAACAGGAATCCCAAATGTATTTGTACAAAAAAAAAGCGTTTGCAAATACATACTAGATTTTCTCAATGATATACAGATCAGGCAACACTTACATACGTTAGGATTTAATATTGAGTCCAAGGTTATCCATGCACGTTGGTAACAAAATGCTTAAAAAACAGCAAATAAAATTGCACACTTGTTGTACGTCTTACGCCAGGCGTTGTAAATAATTAAAAATTTGTATGTTTTATCCAAAAGTCTCTAATTTAGGATTATAACATTTTCACAGTTAGTTAAATATACTTAGTAAGTTTTTTGATTGAAAGCCAAATGGTCACTTATATATGAACAAATATCAATATGGTTAAATAAATCGTTGAAGAAATAAACAATAAAAAAAGCTAGTAGCCGAAGCTGATGTTTGAATTGCTTAACCGTTATCGTTAAAGGTGCTAAAAATGAACAGAATTTTGAACAAGTAGTCATGCGCTCTTATACTTAGCAATCGATAACATCAAACAAATGTATACCAAAGTGGTATATTTTTGGGGAGAGCTGGCCACACTGAGCCCGCTGTAATTTCAGTCGTAGCTTAATATTCGAGTCGAGCGTGCGCAACATACGCAGTTAACAGTTGGTCGTTTTAGGTAGCCAACCTGTTGCATTTTTTTTGAGTTTTGTTTTGTTTTAGTAGTGGAAAGTGCAATAACGATAACAACGACTGCGTCAGATAAAATCGAGTTGAAACATAAACTCACCTGCTGCAGCAGCCACACAGAGCGTGTGAGTGGTGCGAGTGTCATACAAATTAGAAATCTTTTGTTTATTTAATAAATACGGCGAAAAATACAAACGACAAAAAACGAAAAACAAACAAAACGAGAATAAATATCAAAAGGTAACGGGCAACAAGTGCTGTTATTGTTGTTTTTGTTGTTATTGTTTGTGCTGTGCTGCTGCTGCTGCTGCTGCTACTACCGTTGTGGTTGTTGCAGTTATTTGTTGTTGTTGTTGTTGTAGCAGCTCATGAACAGCGGAAGGTAAATATTGTTAACTCCGGACTCCAAATACGCAAAGCCAAAATGCAAATGGTAAAAAATCGTAGTTGCGGCAAAAAGCGAATACGAAAACGAGCAAACGATCAATTTTTGTGGGTGAATGTAATTGTTGTTGCTGTTGTTGTTGTTGTTGTTGTTGTCGTAGTTGCTGATGATGTGGAAAAGTTAATGAAGCATCCGCGCTCAAAGCCAACAAATAAGAACATTGCGTTCGTCTGTAACCGACTGCGCAATACTCTGTCAACTGTGTAGCATTTAAATCAGCCGACAAGAGTCTTTTTGCTTATTGTGCTGCTGACTCTAAGACTAAGTGTGCCAGATCAGTGCCCTTTAAACTGTGACCGTATCAACTTGATTTATGCGATAGGGGGAAGCGAAAAGGCTTGGCCCCCAAATTTGTAGTTATATCTCTAGAGGAAGTCATCAATAGTCTACCTGCAATTTGGTGACTCTCTGACGCCACCCCTGGTGGGCGTGTCTAAAGGCAATCGACCCCGTTGGAAATTGATCAAGCATGGGCCAACAGCTTCATCTAGGCCAATGTCATGCAAATGTCGCGCAGCACGACACCCTTGCTGACCTGTCTTGCCAGACGTCTGGCAGGACATGTCAGTAGCGTTTTCTGTAAACGATATTTTTCATTTGCGTCGCAGTCTTGGCCATATTTACTCCAAATTTCATTAAGCTGGCTTCAGTCTTACGACAACAAAACTTCTGTCTTTTAGTACACGACACGCTCGACGACATGTCATCGAGCAAACGTTGATATGTCATTGAAGCTGCTAGCAATAAGCATCTCATCGAGGATCAGACTTTTATCTAGGCTATACACACGCATAGAGTTGTTTGTATGTGTATATATGCAAGTATTTGTGTCAATTGTTGGCACTAGAGAACAACAAATTAAAAATGCCAACCAGTTTAGTCACGCCGCCCGTAACTCTGTACCGTTAGCTCCCCCGCCACCTGGCCATAGAACCTAAAGCTATTGTTGCTGCCGCTTCTGCCACTGTTGCTGCTGCTTTTTGTTGTTGTTGTTGCTGCAAATTCTAAAAGCTGCACATCGCTTTTTGTTAAATGCCACCGCGTAGAAAGCGACAAGCAATACAAAAGCATCAACAAATACAAATAAATGTATTTAGTTTTTTGTGTCTTCAACTGAAAAGGCACGGACAATAAATGGATTGGGTTAGAGGGTCAGAGGCTCTCGATCACAGCAATAGCATTGGAAATGCTCGCACAATTAACTAAGTACAGTGCGCATTCGATATAGTGAACTCTTAGCATATATAATTGTGTGATTCTTATAATATCATAAATTGTGCAACTATTAGTCACCCAATCGTAAATTTTTACAGTTGAAGGGTCACAGTCTGATGCAGCAACAGTTTGAGAGTCACTTATTTTTATTAAATTTTTTGATATTCTGATGGATTCTACTCAATCTTTACTTAAGTCTGGAGTTTAAGCTCGTAATTGTCTAGTTTGGTCAGAGTATCTTTGAATATATTATTTATTTCTCTTTTATTGACCGGGAAATCCTCTGTTTCCCTGAAGTCCCCTGCTATATAAAAGTCCGCGTCGCCTAACTCCGACTTCCATAGCAAACAGATGGATCTACTCATGGAATATAAGCTAATTAGAACGGAAATTCAGATATGTTTTCCTCTGATACCATCTGCAAGGGCATTAATTCGATTTAAACTTCTGCAAGACTTGAGTTTCTGAATGGAGTTCCTTATACATAGCAGAGTGTAGCAGAGTTTCTACTATGATCAAGCTTTAGAGTATTCATATTGAATAAACACTTTAACCTTATTGAACATTTAAATATTTAAGAATTCCGAATATGTGTGAAATAAGGTATTTTTTGTTGTGTCGACACGTGAACCTGTTTCAGGCGTATTTAATTTATGTTTAATTAACTTATTAAGGTAGCCGTTGACAGATGTTTCAAGTTTTATTAACCAGAAATGAATAAAATGCCAAAAAAAAGTCCACATTAAATGATAAGATTGAATAAATAAACGTGCAGTTAAGCCAAAAGCTAGATGGACAAGAAAAAAAAGGCTATCTACGGCACGCCGAATCTTGAATGCCCTTGTAAACTTACTGGCCTGTGGATATGCTAGGAGACTCTTGAAGCTCGTAATAGCTGAGATTAGTCTAGAATTTTTTCCATCGATACATCCTATAGAGCTATATGATATAGTAGTTCGAAGAAGAAGCATTTTATGATGTGTCGAGTTTGGCCAAGATATCTTGAGGAACTCAATCATAAATGTGGACAGATCCTTCCTAGATGACATGGTGGACTTCTCCCCCCTATGTGTAACCCACTTCGTGACGAAATCAAAGTACCCTCTTTTATACACTTAGATGTAGAACTTTATCGTTAGCTTTGAACAACAAAAACACAATAGATCAAGCGACTTTCTGACAGATTCACGACTATTCAGCAATTTTGTTTTCTAGCCGATGTTGATGATTCATGACTGCATATACATATTATCTCTGCTATCAGCGATAAGGCTTCTCAGATATGACCAACTATATGCATTATAACTGCGCTGATGAAGTGGCTAATGGTTTATTTACGAATGAATTGAAATTGGAATTTGGCTAGTACAGGCTAGCACCTAGCACAAATGCATTTGATATATTTTCCATTTCTGAAACGAGAGTTGTTTGTATACATGTGTCTGTACGTACATCATATAAATCGGAAAAGCGGAACGAATTCGAGAAGTGCCGAGCTTGAGATAAACTTTCCCATTTCAAGAAACAGAAACGAGTGAAAAACACGACACGATATTTTATTTTGTTCAATCGACAAAAACAACAACAGCAAGAAAAGCCAATTGCATTTCAATACCCATTAAATGTAGCTAAACAAAGGGGTATACGCATGTTATGCGTACCCGAACCCATCGAATGTATATATATATTCATGATCAGCATAGTCCATCTATGTCTTCCAGTTCCAATTTTGGGGCGTATAAAGAAATTACTTTTTGCTCAGTACGTTTTAGATATAAGTATAGGGTATCTGCCAGTTGGGCACGTTGTTATTAATCTTATTGCTAGCTATTAAATGAAGCTGTTCATTTATGCTGCATATAGAGCATAGATTTGTAGATGATATTTAAAGTCGTGTATGTGTATCTCTGTGTGTTGCATGCCTCTCTTTATTGCCGCAACATAATGAAGCTTAATGGCAATTCAATGAAAACTGCAACTGAAACTGAAAACTGAAAAGCTTCCCCGCGGAAAAAGTGAAATTTGCCGCCAGCGAGAGACTGCAAAAAAAGAGAAAGAGGTGGACAGAGAGAAAAAGAGAGAGAGAGAGAGAGAGAGAGTGCGAAATATTGTTGGTTTGAATTACTCGACTTGTACCCGATCGTGCTGGGAACTACTCGACTAGTACCCGATACTCATACGCATATTCGTACGAGTACCCAAACGTACTTGTGACTTGTACTCGAGCTGCGTATACTTATTGCAGTCAATGTTTAATCCTCATGTTAATGCTCATGTTAATTACAAACAGCGGCTGCCGCGTGCTAGTTACAATCGCAACAAATAATTAACTCGTGAAACTCAACGTGCCGCCGTTCTCAAAATGGATGCAGCTGCCAACAGCGCCAGCCCCAGCCCCAATGTCAGCGTTGCTGTTGCCGTTGCCGCTGCTGGAGGCGCCACCGAAGACGAGACCAAAGCGAAGCTGCACAAACAAAACGCCAACATGGAGAATGATGATGACGACGATGAGCCGCAGGCGTTGCCATTCTGTTTTGTTCGGGTGAGTGCTAAATTTTATTATATCTTTTTCTTCTTCTTCTTCTTTGGGGCGGGCCTAGAAAGTTTGCATTAGCCCCCCTGTCCCTCCATTCAATGAAATTTTAGCTGCAACCATCCCTAAAACCTGGTTACAGTCGAACGCCGCCGACACACGGGCGACTTGCAACCAGCCGTGAAGCGTTGCAGCAACCTGTTCGTTGCGCCTTGACACCCCATAGACAACTAAGTATAATCTTCACTGAATATATCTATTACATGATAAGTTGACCCAGCACCAGGTGACCTTTGGTCATGCGTTTAGCTAGAAAAGTTTCCCACATTAAAAAGTAATATGAACTTGATTTAGTTCTCAGACGTCTGCCAACAGTGTTTTATTAAAGTGTACTAGAACAAATTACCCGGCTTTGTTCGGGTCGATTGAGTAATGTTGAAATTGCAAGTGGTATCGAAATCGAAATTGTTTATTTAATTTGTGTCCACTTCGGACATATACAAAGTCACTAAAAATTGTCACCAGAGGTCTTTGCGTTAGGTCTAAATTTTAAGAATTGCCTCTGGAAGATATGAACCAACGACTTTTCGCTTGCTAGTTCGACGCTCAGATACCCAGACTATCTCTTACGAATTATATCTGCCCTATTAATATAAAACTTAGATACAAAGCAATCAATTGACTCAAAGGATATATAAAGAATTTGGTTCTTCAAAAGATTTAAGCTGCTTTTATATATACATTCAGTTATGTCCAGGACGAAAACCAATCCAGCTCTTATTTTGAAATTATGGGTAAAAATACAAACTAACTTGAAATAAGAGTTTAGTTCTGATATCAAGAAATTTCGAATCTGGATGGATTGTGACAATTTCTGTACGTGAGTTGAGAACAAAATGATTTTTTCTTGAGTGTTTATATATGTATATGTATATACGTTCGGAACTTCTACAGCCCCATGACCCATTAGAATGGGCGTCAAGTGGAACTGCTTTTGGTTTTGGCACGCAACGCTGACTTTACAGAACCTCTGCACAAGGGACCCAAAAATGCCACCGAGTTGTGCGGGTTACTGGACTCACATATTCGGCTGTTTGTTACAAGTGTTCTACAAGTGTTAATTTCCAACTGTTCTGTGTGTTTTTATGTGTGTGTGTCTGTGTGCTTGTGCTGTAACCTTTTCGAGATTCGGGGTCGAGTGGTTCCGGCGCTGCTCGGTGCCTGCTCGGGCGCAAGCCGCACCTTTCCGAGACACGGCAATTGCCCGCTGCCATTATATACATATTACACTACGTACAATTACATTTCCCCCAACCTCCGCTGCCAAAAAAAAAAAAAAAACCAAAAGAAAAACTAGAAAGAACGGATTCCCTGGGCACGCCGAACATGGAATACCCTTGCAGATATATGGCTTATTACGATCGACTCAATATGGTTTTGCAGTTAGGTTTGGTGCAAAGTAAAACTCGTAATTGAACAACTAAGAAATTTTCTATTCAAAGATTCATTTTTCCCGTAGAGTTTTAATTGAAAATTTTCCGATTCTAATAATTTATTGTTTATATGAAACTCGTTAATGCAAAGTTTGGTCAAGATATCTTGACAAACGGAAAAGTTTTCCATGCAAAAACCTTTTTTTCGAACAATTCTTGCCATGAACTTTATGATATAGTATGATTTTGCTCAGAATTCACCTTTTATATAAAATGATTATCGAAAACTCGTAAATGTTGAGTTTGATCGAGATATTTTGTTAAACTGAAATGCTCTGAAATGTTTTTCATAGATATGCGATATAGCATTTCAAATTTGTTAAGATTTTGCTTGTCGTGAAACTCGTAAATGCCAAGTTCTAGATCAAACTTGAACAACAAAAATGGAGCAGATCATGATAAGATTTTGTTTTTATATCAAATGGATATCTTAATAAGAACCTAATTTTCGACTGATCGTTCCGATGGGAGCTATATAATAGAGTAGCCAACTCCTTCTATACGTTTCATATTTCGTAAGAATATTGTAATACCCTTTAAGAATGTGTAAAACAATTTGTTGTTGTTTTGGCTTTGTTTCGTCGTGTGATTCCGTGCTTGGTTCTCGGCGCACTCACGACCTGCCCCCGGCTGCTCTCAGAGACGGTGCCCCCATCCATGTTGGTGTGCCCCGACGCTGGCCTGGCCTGGCCTGGTATGGTATGGTCTGGCCTGGCCTGGTCTGGCCGGGAATGATTGGCCCTTTTGATTGCTTTCTTTGGTTCGTTTCGCCGACGACGTTCTTTGGCTCTTTGGCTGTCATAATTTGTTGGGAAAATTGTTTCGGTTCTGCAGTTTGATTTTCATTATTCCATTTGATGTGCCCCATCAAAAGGTTGCGTCAAATTGTGCGCCGGTTCAGCAAACGATCGGATGCCATATTTGCTAAGTGCATGCTGATTGGGCCGAGTTCGATAAAAGAAGAAAACTAATCAAACTATCAAGGCCAATTACCTGATCAGTTAGCTTAAGTTATCCCAACTTAAACCTGTAGATTTCAGTTGTAGATAGCTGCAGATATATTGTCCAACATATTCTTTTGTATAGAGTTGGCTTTCCTTGAACTCCCGTTTCCCATCCAGTGGGAGGATTTTCCGATTTCGCGTGCAGAACTTTCCTAAACCTCGGCAGTTAGTCAGGGCGAACTGCTTAAAATATATATGAAATAAGAATCGATGTAAAGTATAATTAGAGACATGGACTTCAGGATTTGATTTACTCAGATGAAGATAACTTTATTTTAACTTTAGCAGAAACCTAACTAAAAAACTCTATGAATACAAGCGAACTTCTTGAGGCTAGCCTTGTGGCAAAGACTTAATATGAAGCCCTGTTCCATAAAAGAATCGTCTTTTTGCTGTGCTTGCAAATGGCATTAGTCGCCGGTCGCCACTTTTTGTGCACTTTTTATTTGTGGCGGCAAATTCAAAGTAATCAACACACACACACACACACACATATAAATCAAACCCAATCAGCTCGAAGCGTGTCTTTTCACCCACCTATATAAAAGTAAGAATCAGAATAAAAACTTGATTTCTGTGATTTTGACGACGCCTCATTTGATGTTCCTGATCCTAATACAAAAACGATTTGCGGGCGAGACGAGCATCCAGTTTGTTATACCCATTCAAAATGTGTGAAAAGGGCATAATGTTTTTCTTCAAATGTATGTAACAGGCAAAGGGAGACAGTTCACGCCCTTTAAAGTATATTGATCACGATGACGAGGTGAATCGATCTAGGTTCTCTTCGTCTGTCTGTCTGCTGTACCTTTTCCATACTTTTCATACTATCGATAAATATCGATTTTGAGACAGTCTCTTGAGCGAAACTTGATTATCATAATAGCTAGATACCCCAAACTTGATTTGCAGGCTCTTGTATAGTGTATACAGTTTATGAATATCATAGTTTTTTGATACCTCTTCCCAATCTTTTATACGCCATATTTAAACCCTAACGTGAACTTGGCGCTTGGTTCAGGGTATCTCCTAGTCAGGCAGTCCCGACTAGAGGACTCTTACAATTTTTTTTTCGATGACTGTCGCCGCTAATGATGATTCCATAGCTCAATCTCGGCCGTCTTTTCACTTCGCATATGTCAAGCTGCGACTTTCGTTCGTGAATGCATTAAAAGACAATCGATCAATCGACTGGTGGAAGCCCACATTCTAAGCAGCCCTTGGCCATGCTGGACCACACCCTTAAATCTAAATATGTACATATATATGCTTATGTGTTCCCCAATTTGAATATATAAATATGCATACCTTGTGTATATATGATAATTATCCAAAAAAATGCGAAGCTGCTTTTGGGACTGTCTTTGCTTTTGTGTGCTTAGATTGTTTGTTGCCTCGTATCGTTGTTTGTCTGCTTGTTTGTTGGCTTGTTATACCCTGTAAAAAAAAAACAAATTGATTTAAAAAGTGTAAGTGCATGTATTAGATGGAGGAAGTTGATGTCGACCCTATAAAGCACATATGTTTGCTTAACCATGAAGCTGGAGATGCAAATGATATTTGTGGTTATAATTCATATAAATAATGTAAAATTTAATTAATTTGATCAAAAATTTAACAGGTTTCACGCATGTCGGCGGAAAATGGATGTAAAACTATCAAGTTGTATCGCATCAAATTGTAACTCAGTTATTTCCGCCCGCCGTAAAGGATTCTTTATATAATTCCTAAGGGTATTAGTTTAGTTTCTTTAACGAGGAATTAATACGATTTTGCAAAATCCACTATTGAGGGCGGGAAATGGGTGTAAAATGAATTCAAATGTAATGCATCAAGTTGTAATTTTTTTGCCACCCGCGCTAGTGGATTCTTGATATTATAATTAAGTTTCTTTAGCGAGGAAAACAATTTTATAAAATCCACTATTGAGGGCGGGAAACGGGTGTGAAATAAATACGAATGTAAAGACACTTTCTTTACTCGTGCCTAGCCGGGTTTGTTCTTTTATACTTTATTTAAAAGAGCATATTGGCTACAGAGTATCTGTTAGTCGACCAGTCGCGTCTAGCGCTTTTTCAGCTAGTTTGCTTGTTTGCTCGTCGCCGCTAGATAACATATAATTTGATTAGTTGCTGCGCAAATTGCTGCCCAAGTTGGGCGACTGCCCAGCAAACAAATCTTATATTTGTGCATATACTATTTTGGCTTATGGGCGTGGCACTGGCCATGTCTTGCAGACATTGTGTTGCACAGCGTTTAGCATAATTAAAATGCATTGCGAATGCTGCTAAATGTGTGAGACTTTTCACTTTCCCATCGCCAATGACTGCGTAAATTTTTTTTTTTTTTTTTTTTTTGTCAATTGTTCCCCGAGCTGGCGATGAGATTTCAAATCTCAGCTAATGGCCTGGGTAAATTTTTTGAAACGTACCTTTAGTACGGCTCGCTGACCAAGCTGACTTGTTGTTGTTACTAGCCAAACCACCTGGCTGGTTGGCCATCCTGCCCGGGGCTGCAGGGAAACTTGTGTGTGTTTGTCCATTTCCATTGCTCCTCGCGATTGCCTCGCGCTGCCTGGGTGAAAGTTATGCAGTTGACGATGTATTTCTCTAACTGGGTAGCAGCCAATTGGCTGCCAGCTTTTGCCCAGCTGCAGGTGGTCGTCACCTGTTTGTTGAAGCTGCGGCGACGGCTGAGGCTGAGGCTGGCGCATACAGGTGCGTAAATGCAAAGATCGATTAAATAATGAAATTAATTACAATTTTCTATAAAATACATGGTATGAAAGAAAGCGAAACAGGCTGAACGCCTGACAGATTAACAACAATTACGCGCCTATTGTGCAGTGTTGTAAAACGCATTCTTAGCCAAACAGCAGGCGACAAACTCAGCATTTGTTGAAAAGAAACAAACGAATTTTTCGCTGCTTACACTTTAATTTTTGGTAAGTTTTAAAAACCTCAAGTGCCCAGCTTGTAACAAGAAAAAAGAACTCGGCGAACAGCTGCAGTGTTGCAAAACACGTTCTAGTTGTCATCTTGTAAATAAAATATGCTTAAGCTTAAGCTTTTTCTTCTTACCTCATACTAAGTTGACATAGGCCGACACGAAATGTTTGCCATTCTGTCATATGCAGAGTATAAACGTCGCTTAGTTCTTAATTTCCTGCTTTTGTGCTATATAACTCAAGTCTTGTAGCTAAGCATCTAATTTAAAGCTTTACAAGCAAGCTTAACCAGGGTGGGACAGGAACAAAAAGTGCACCTGGTTTGAACCAGCTCTTTCTGCTCATCGGTTCAAACACGGCCTGCAGCCTTCAGTTAAGGGACTGTAGCTTTGCAAGGCATATTCGAGCTAGCATTTCTTCTTCGTATTTACATATTGCATATAAAGTTGGTTGGGTTAACTTAACTTTTTGCAAATCATAAAGCTTAGCCAGCACTTTTGTGATATGTACACCTCCTAAAAGCCACAATGTGGCTGGTTTTCGACCTAACTGTGTGTCTTAACACCCTATCTAATGCTCCACTTTGCTAACTTGGCCAACATTTTTCATGGTCACACTCTCTTGCGCCACAAAATGTGACATACATTGCCTCAAGCGAAGCGTGCGTAATGTATTTAGGGCCGAATTACTCGCATATCATGAGCTCAAATGAAAATACAATAAAAGAAATACTATAAGCCAAGCAATTGCAAAAAAAATGGCAAAGTGAGATAGAATGAGAGGAACTTTGATTCTAAAAGAATTCTTAATTCATTTGTATATACTTATATATGCTCGGCTCTATGTAAATTGTCTATTTGAAGGGATTATTACCGCACTCTCTATGCTCCGATGCGCACCCAAAGATCGTGAGAAAGTTGTAATTTTGTGTGTTTTCCGACAGGCATTAATAGAAAAACAGAAAAAAAAAGCAAAACATGAAAGATATACCTGGGCAAAAGTCACACGCAACTTTTTTGTTTTGTCGCCAGAGGCAATGAAGAAAAATATCTATGTATATATGTTATATATAAGAAAAAAGTCCAAAAAAAAAAAAAGAGAAATATGTATGCAAATGACTTTCATGTTAACTCGAAGATATCTCAAGCGACTCCATTTCTAGAGTGGGCCGCGTCTTGGAGCAACATTTTCCATTAACTATTGTACAATAACCGATTGGATCGCCCAGCGAAATGTTATGCAAATTTGACAACTTTTGAGGGAAATTGTTGCGTCCAGACTTTCGGCATTTTTGGACTTTAAATGCGTTGCGCAACACGCAACACCCAAAAAAGGTAGCCGCGGCGCAAAAAGAAAAGTGTGAACGAGGGGAAGAGGGCAAGTGAAAGAGAGAGAGAGAGAGAGAGAGAGAGAGAGAGAGATAGAGAGAGAGCGGGAGAGAGAGCGGGAGAAAGAGAGCAGAGACAGGGAAGTGCGACAGGTTAGCCTAGTTAGCTGGAGACACTGAGGAAACCAATTTGGCCCAACCTGTATATGATGGCGATCGTGAACCAGATTTGAGCTTCGAGATTCCGATTCCGCATCGCTGCCAAGTTGCATTCCCCAAAAAACTTCCCATTGAGTATGGTCCGGTCTGCGATTGGACTGGCGAGTGAGGTAGTCTTGTCAAGGAATTTCACTCTGGTTTTCTACGACCAATATCCAATATGCGTGTATGGGCTCAGCTCTGATGCTCTACAGTCGAGAAAGCAGTTGAAAACTGTGCGCAGTTTGTCAGATTATGCGTTATGTGGAAGTACAGACAACTGCATCTCTGTGTATGAGTTTGTGTGTGTGTGTATTTGTGACTAAAACTGGCCGAACAGGTGAAGTTGTCGTATGCCAAACTAAAGTGCGTGCAACAACAAAAACAACAGTTGATTTGCTATCATTGTTGTTGCTCTAGACCCGGTCTGAAAGTCTTATCCGTGTAAATGCAACAACAAAAACAACAACAACAAACCAGAAAAGCGTAAGTGAAACGAATTATGCGTGCAGTTCAGCGTGTGTGTGTGTGCGTCTCTTATGCTTATAACCTGCAGCCAAAGGCAATAATTGCAAGGATTGGCGGACAGCTTAGCTGAAACTCATAAGCTTAAAAAGTTGGTAACTCAGACTTGCACATGGAAAGCCTAAAAAGCAACGTTTCAGTTCTTGAGAATCGCATAGAAAGGCGACAATTAAAGTTGAAGATAACGAATGAAAAGGCGATAGAAAACAAATGGGGTAACAGATTGAGCGTGCGCGAGTCAGGCATAGGAAGGGGGAATGAGGAAGAGAGATAGAGAGAGAGGAAAAAACTCAACTGGCTTTAACTAAACTTACTATATTCTATTGTTCATTGTTCGTCAAAGACTCTAAAAGCAATTTATTCAAGAAGACAGTCGTATATTTTCTTAGATTAAAACGGATTTAAACTGGAAAGAGTGTTGACTTTCGTTTACTCTGTGAACAAAGTGAAAACGAGCATATTGGCTTTGTGCAATGCCCATTTATATGGATATATATTACGTCTATATATCTGCCCGTCTGGCTGTTTAGAGAATGAATAAAGTGTGGCCATGTAATGGTAATGTTTTAGAGTTAACAGCCCGCGAGTAAGGAAGACTCTTGTCTTGTCTGTTTTTAGACCGTGAGCAAAGTATTGCCCCGTTCGCATATCCCCGACTGTCACGCTCTTGCCCTTTTCTATTCGTATTTGTTATTTTCAATCACTGTTATGCAGTCGCCCTTAAACTTGATGATGCTATTGTGAGATCGACTCATTTGATATGCATACGCAGCTGCAAGCCCCCTACCATAACTGACCACATGCAAGCAGAATTTCATTACGAAACCCTAAATGGAATCCCGCAACCAATTCGAATGAATCTGATAAGCCCTGCCCTCTATCAAATTGGAATTCTAAGTAGTTTTCAGAATCCATTGAAATAGGGTAAAAAAGGGTATGTCGGTTTTGGTGCAATTGCATGAAACGGGCAGAAGGAGGCAAGCCCGTAAATTATATATATACTCCTGATCTGGACGATCTTGATCTAGCTTTATCCGTCTGTTCTTCTTTGTGAAGACGTCGATCTCCGCTTGACTTGAAATTTAAAATATATCTTCTTTCTTTTCTTCTTTCAATATCTTTTCTTATTTTGATGGAATCGATAAATATCGATTTTAGGACTTGGTTGTTTTAGGCATAACTCGAAGATTCTAGGAGCAATATACACAGAACCTTGTGTGTAGTTTCTCGTCTAGGCTTTAGAGATTGAAAATATATATCTTTTTGGATATTTGCACCCCATTCGACCCATTCAACTCGTTCTTAAAGGTAGGAACTGACGATTTAATGGATAAAAATAATGGTTTATGACATATTTCGAGAGTATTTTTGTATGTGAAAGGAAGCCAGAATCTTTGTAATGGCAGCTTGGCTTTGGTTCAGGGTATCTTCTAGTCGGAC